ACCAGCAAGAGCTGCCTCTCCCATGTGGGTAAAGTAGAACCATAGAATCACAGAATGGTTTGGGCTGGAAGGGACCTTGAAGATCATCTAGTCCAACCCCCCTGCCATGGGCAGGGACACCTTCCACTAGACCAGGTTGCTCAAAGCCTCATCCAGCCTGGCCTCGAACACTTCCAGGGATGGGGCATCCACAGCTTCTCTGGGCAACCTGTTCCAGTGCTTCACCACCCTCTCCAGGAAGAACGTCTTCCTGATGTCCAATATAAATCTACCCTCTTTCAGCTTAAAGCCACTACCCCTTGTCCTGTCACTACAGGCCCTTGTAAAAAGTCCCCCCCAGCTTCCTTGTAGCCCCTTCAGGTACTGGAAGGCTGCAATAAGGTCTCCCTGGAGCCTTCTCTTCTCCAGGCTGAACAAGCCCAATTCTCTCAGCCTGTCCCCATAGCAGAGGTGCTCCAGCCCTCTGAGCATCTTCGTGGCCTCCCCTGGACTTGCTCCAACTGGTCAATATCCTTCTGATGTTGGGGGCTCCACAGCTGGACGCAGCACTCCAGGTGGGGGCTCACCAGAGCAGAGTACAGGGGCAGAAGTAGCCTTTGGCAGCTCTTCTCCTTTCCCTTCAGGCCAGCTATCTTGCTGGCTGTTGCTCAAATCTTTAAAAGAAACCTCAAATATTGCACAGTTGTTCTTTCATTTCTCTATCCTGACAAGTTTCATTTCTGCTTCTCTTCTTCTTACCTTGATGGACAGGTTAACTTTTTGTGCCAGCACGTCTGTAAAGCCTCCCTCGCTACAGCACATATACTGCAGACCATTTACATGGAATATATACTGAATACTGCCATTTTGAAAACTTAGTTTGTCCCCTTAGTCCTGTGAAGACCTGAAGCCCTGTAGCTCTTCACAAACAGACGGCTGAGCAATGTATGGAGACGGCTGCTGTCCTCTGTCAGGTAAGATGTTGGGTTTCAAGATCAAAGTATTGGAGGCCTTTGGACTGGGAAATAGGACAGCAGGCTCTGGAAGATACGTATCAAGTATAATTTATGATCAGAGGTAAATACAGTTTGCTCCTTAATATTTCTCAGCATGAGACTTGGCAATTTTGAACAAGTTCGGCATGACAATTAGACTGTAAGAAGTTTTCCTGTCCACAAGCTCAGGTTGGAAACCCTGGGCACGCGTATTTGTACATGGGAGATTGGGTACCAGGCACGTTTCCTCCTCTTCACTTATATCCAAAATGGAATAGGAAGCCATGCAGAATTAAACCCAATTTACAGTGGTGGCTGAGATTTTGACATAAGGCCATGGGCTTTTTTGCAGCTGACAGGGAAACCACACTATCTTCTGAGCTTCTTACTTCAGGGTAAGAGAGAACAGGACAAAAGGCTGGCTGGGTCCCGGTGACAGGAGCTGTCTCCCACCCTGCCTCACTCTCCAGCTTGTAACATATGCAAACCCGTTACTTGCCTGCTGGCTTCAGTGCTGTCCTGCGGGGTTTCCCCAGGGGACAAAGCCAGTGCTGCCAAATTCACAGCTGGGCAAACGTCTCCAGCCCCAAATGATCCATCTTTCAGTTATTACAGATGATGTAGGTGAATCAGCTCACCTACACGTGAACATAGTAAGAAATTTTGCATCAGTTTTTGTTGCTAAAAGTCGTGAGATCACAAGGATCACAATTTTTCTGCTTGCTTACAGTCACAACAAATCACAGCTACTGTCTGTCAAAGTCCTGTTGACATCTATGTCTCTTGACAGTTTGGGCTAAAGTTTCCACTTCATGTGTACCAGGAGCAGCAAGACATCACTTCAGAGATCAAAAAATGGTGGCCCATTGGATTTATTTCCACCCTGGAGACATCATTTCGGGGGTAGCTTCCTACAACGGTTATTTCCATCTTCCCATGATACCAGTTGCTGCTTCTGCCAGACTGTGAGAGGGAGGGGGACAGACACACAACAAAGGACAGTTGCTTTCCAGAAATTACTGAAAACTTGTCCTCTTCCTGCTTTTCTCTCTAATTCGTCTTTCAGAGAAGAAGACACTTCCATACTGTAGACCATATTTCTTTGTATTTTCTTTTTCTATAGGTTCTGTCTAAAAATGGTCCAGGCAGTACACGAAGAGAAGTTGGTTCCCAAAGATTTTGCCACTTGGCCTCTGCTATGTGGAGTCCCAAGGAAACTGTATTTTCCTAGGAACAATGCGGGAATAGAAGATTACAAGAAAAACTACCATTGGGATATCCACTTTAATTCCCTCCAGATTTATACAATCACTTCAGTGAGAATAAAACCAAAAGCACAGGTGTGTCACTAAAAGGAAAATGCAGCAACTATATGTATTAGTACACTTTGGGGAACATGCACAAAAAAAGTGTGTCTCCAGAAATGGGTATCCTATGAAATCTTTTGTCCCAAGAAAGCCTAGGGAACCGAGACCCCTCTTTTCAGGAATTACTGTCTAATCGAAAGAGCTGTACCTCACACCACCCAGTCAGCGCCCATTGCGGGAGGAATCAGGAGGTGCCTGTCCAGCACACAGGCAGCCCAGTACGGGAGGGCGTGCGGATGACAGAGGCTGGCTCAGCCACGGGTTTGCGGTTACACACGGGTGGCTCAGAAGGCTGACAGAATGGCTGCTGATTCAGTGATAAAATCCCTCTATCAAGCATCAAGGCCAAACATCAACTGCCTGATGCATCTCCTGAAGCATCTGTATCTCCTGGGATCCATGGCCCTCCTGCCCAGTCTGTTTCCATTCACAGACTGAATAGACAAGCTACGAACAGAGCATTGCAATGGATTTTGTGTACCGTAAAAAATGTTATTAAACATTCCCTCACTTCACATACTGCTTAAAACAAGCATCCCGGATTTTGCATGTCAGTTAATTCCTTTAGGACACAAAATCCTGAATTGGGATCCTATCTAAGGGCCCTTAATTTCAAATAAACATTCTTATTTTCTCTTAATTCACACACTCTTGCAGCAATGGAACATGTCTGTTTCCTTCTTTTTTTTTTTCTCCTTTTCAGAAATAGGACTAAATAAAGCATTCATGGAAGTAAAATGCAAATAGCAGGAAATTTCAATGGATGATGGTAATACAAATTCACATTTTTTCAAACAGTAGCACGTAAAGATATGCAACTTTCCATAAATAATTTGGCTGAAATACAGAAAGTCCTATAACATCACGGGAACAACTTCTGCCAGGGTTGTTTCACGCCTTTTACCACTTTGGATTCTTAATTACATGGTGAATCAGATGTGATTGTTAGGGCTAGTGTAAACAGAACAAACGGGGAAATTTTAAAACCACATTTATTTTTAATACAAAATCTGTTGCACTATTACAGAAGTGAGCCTGCATGTTTACCCCCACATGCACAGATAATTCAGCATCTACAATTAAATAAGAGTAAAATTATATTTCTCTTTTACCAAAACCATTGGCAAATCTTATGAAGAAATGTTCTCTTTGTGCTTTGTAATCAGTGTTGGTAGAATTTGTTTCTGATTTTGGTTCCCATTAAGAAAACGGATCAAGGGAAAGCTCAAAGGGGCGGAAGCAGCTTCTCACAGCTAGCTTACAGCTGTGGTTACGCCCGCTGTGCTTTGCCTACAGTATATACACGAAAGCTGCGAGGTGTACTATGGTCTAATGTAATGCACTGGCAGAAGCTCTGAATGGTTCAGTTAGGAATCTGCACTAAATAAGCAGAACAGTTCACTATTTCGTTTTCACGGCAAAAAAAAAAAAGTATATATTTAAGTAGATGCCTTAAAATACCATGCACACCATTGGCTAGAGTACTTCTTACACAGTACAACATAAGCTTTCTTGGTTTATTCGTCTGTAACACCTAGAAGCATATAGCATCTACGCTTTAAGTGTATTTACAAATTCAACAAAATATCTACATATAAAAAGCTTACTTAAAATTAAACTTGATGCAAGTTATGAAAAACCAATTTATTGGCAAATGAAACTGAGCATTCCTTCAACCATAGGTTGTTATAAAAATTTATATTTGGAGGTAAACGTTTGATTGATATAGTATGCGAGAAAATAATTTTGCAACCGATGATGGTAAACCTTTACCACTAAACCGTATTAGCACTTGTCAGATTGAATCCTGCGGTTCCGAGCGGTAACCCCCACACCGCTTCAGGGCGGAGATAATTGCAAAGCTGCCACACTGATCAGGCCGGGACGCGGAGGGAGACGCACTCTCGCTGGTGTAGTCGGCTGGTTTGGCTTTTTAACAATTTATTTTACAAGAGCTTGCTTATAACCTTGCTGTGTTAGTAAATTAATTCTGTTGGGGTTTTTTTGCTGGTTGGTTGGTTGGTTTTTTTAAATCTTTTAAGGCCATGAAAACATGTTGTGCTGTAACTGTCTAGAAAGCATTTCTTTTCTTTTTAACGAAATTAAAAATACCATACTCTGTGTACTTGAACATATTTTAAGACTTCCATTTTTAGCACAACAGTTTCATAACACTTTGATTTTCTTCACGTTTTCACTTTATTTGGCAATGACAGTAGTCCGCTAATCACAGTTTACTGCACCAACTGATTTAGTAGTACAGCGCATTATGGAATGCATATTGTATAAAGGCACTGAATGTAATTTGCCCTGTGTTTTCTGGAATATTTTCTTCTCATTTTAGAGTTTTTTTTTTTCTTTCAGTGACTGTACAAATTCCAAAATGCATTGCAATGCGTATCTTTCATGCCCTAAAATCAATCCAAGGTGTTTTGATGTAAAAGTAGAACACTGTACTGCTGTAATACTTGGTAGATTAGAAAGGCTATAAAGTAATAGGAGCAAAGAGCAGATAATAGGATCTCATTAAGCATCAGCAAATGCAAGTGTCATATTTAAATCATTTAGCAATTATATACTGTACATACCGTTCCTAACTGTCTTGCAAAAAGACATATGATAGCTAGACATTAAGTCACCAATTTCACAACAATGTCCACAAAGACATTGAAGTTCTATAAAATACTACTATAACACTCCGACAATGAAAACGGAATTCATATCCAGGGATTCAGCTGAGGACTGCATAACAAACTGTCAAACCATGATCTGATAGTGTACACAAGATTATCAGTGAATTGTGTAGCATTTTTTTGTCCATGCATTACACCGTATTTTCAACAGGAAACAGAATTGTTAGGTCGACGTTATTGTTTGTGTCGGTTACTTCTAAAAAAAGTAAAAAGACGCAAGTTTTGAACAAAATTTGAATTTCGTATTTTGATTCATACTAACATAACACTTAGTGTGTCGTTAACGCTGCATAACGGCATCGACCTGCGTATTCTCATATCATAAACACCTTGCGGTGAGGAGCTCCGATACCTGCATGTTCATAGTATGAGAAGGAGGGTGTGCAAGTGCTTTGAACGAACTGAAGATACAAGGGGATGGAGTTCTGTGGTTACACAAACGAATTCATGGCATTTACAGGAGAAGGAGCCTCAGAGCTTTCATTTCCTTCAGCAGGTTCTTTCTCCTTTTTACCACTATACTGTCCGATAAAGGAGCCATCCTCGTTGAACTGACCGTTTACACCTTCTCCATAGTCAACTAAACTATCGTCGCTGTCTTCTTTTTTCACAGTTCTGTCTGAAGGTGTCCGGCTTCCTTTTTTTAGAGGTTTATGGTCCTCTGCGTCACTGGAGACACAAACAGACAGACAGAAGGAATTAACTGATGTATTAGATATTCAGACAAAAATCAGTCATGCATGCAGAGTTTATACAAAGCATGTGTGCAGCCCTGTAATCCTTTAGTAAACCCACATCACATTGTAGAGACAGATCAATATGATGCAGCTGACATGAATACATGGGACAGGAATGGTTTAAACAGAGAATGTCTTCAGTGGAGGGAGGGGGCTTCCGTTGGGTTTTTCCCCATCGTGCATGACTTTTCAATGGCAGCACTTGTGCCCTCGGCTTGGAAGCAATTTAGATGCAACTGCAAGCATTAAAAAGTGGGTTGTAAAGTTATAAAAAAAAATCATTTTTTTGTTCTCCAAAGTAACAAGCTTATGATGTGCCGTGAAGTTAGTCTGTTAAACTTCTTAATTTCTTTGACCCCTTGAATATGAATGAAGAATGACTTTGGTTAAATGAAATATACTGATTTTCTTTACTAGTATAAAGAAAATAAAAGTGCTGCATTTCAAATAATTTGTTACATAATGCAGGCCAGACTTGCAGTTTTCAACCTTACCTTTCAAGAGACCTACATATTCCATTAAAAGGGTGCAGAAGAAACAAATGAAAATAGCCTAAGAAGAAAAGCAAAGTCCATATCCTGATAGTGATCAGTATGTTATCAATAATAACTTGCTCTTCAAATTGCTAAACACATTTACTGTATACAGGCAAAGCAACAATTTAGCTGACAGTAGTTACACTTAAGCAGTTAAGAGCATGCTTAGTTTTCTTCATTACTTATCAGATTGACCGCCCTGTCCGAATCCCTAACTGACAACGTGCTCTGACAAGGATGATGGTGATTTCGAGGACGACAGAAAAAGGAAAGGGAAGAAGGGCAGGGAGGAGAGATCCCCATAGCAAAGTACTGCAGTCTTCCCTTTGTCAGCGGGAAAGCTGCAGCACCATCAGCAGCCCCAGAAAAGTGTGCAGCTGGGGTAAGCTTGTGTTTCATGAAATAGATGTCGTTGGGCTCTTTTCAGAATTCTTTACACTGCACTTCAGTTTTTCAGATGATGATTTTTGCAGCAGCTTTAAAGCATTTCCAATTGAAAACCACTATTGCCAGCTGCACTTTTGGGTGCAATTATTTACCTTGTCTTAAACTGTGACTTTATTTGCACATAAGGCACAAAAGAGTAAGTGATTTTTTTTTTTTTTAAATTTAAATATTCCCAGCTTATGAAAAATATAAAGAAATGTGTAGAATATCGAGGCAATAAAAATATATTTACAATATCCACAATATTAGGCTGAGTATTTATTCAACAACTTATTTTAACTGTGCAATTCTTACCAACAAAAACCTTCGTTATTCCAGTAATTCTATTTCCTATTTTTTTTCTAATGCCTATCTTTGACCCCCCAGAGAAGCCATATATATATATATATATGTATCACATACACAGATTAATTTGTTAGCAAAAAATGCCCTGTGGAGAAACATTTCACTCTTGCTAGAAAACCATTACAGTGATTTTCCATCAAGCTGCTTCTCCTCATCTGATCACCTTTTTTGGAAGACTAAGTTACCACATTCTAAAAGAGTCCACCTCTAATATGCATATACTTACAGAAAAAGCATACCAGAGATTTTACTCTTCCATGCATACTTGAGAAAGAAGTGGTAGGAATATCTATCTTACTAATACATAAGAAAACCTTCACGTTTAAAATACACAAAGGCACAAACTCTAAACTTGACTCTATTAGTCTTGACTCTGGGTTTAGCTGTTGGTGTCTACATGGCATAAGGATAAATATCGTATCGCTGATCTTCTGCGCTCACTGATAGTGCAAATACATAGGCTAGAGACACTGAAAAGAATGCTACTCCGAAACGTCAAGTGTCCAGCAGCAAGTGCCAATGTTTGTAACACTGCAAACACAAGCAGATTACAGAGATGTTACTGAAGAGAGTGCATTTGGGAAGGACCCTCTGCTTAAAAGGTTGAAGACAGAACTGAGTATTTAATAATCACATGCAATGCAGTTTCTCTGTTGCCCTCATCAGGGGGCACGAGAGTCATTGTAACAGGTCATACCAACCAACTGAAGAACAGGCCCTCACTTTGAAGTAGCACCCGAGACCTACTCCCAAAGAAGAACGAGCTGCAGTGTTTAATGCTTTCTGGGTGATAGAATTTAGTCAGTAACATTGCACATATGCTCTGCTATTATTTTAAATTAGTAGCTTCATAATTGCTTGCATGAATGAAAATAAATTACATTCATACCATATTCCAACTGGTCAAGAAACTCTGCAAATATTCTAAAGTGTGACACTATCCAGTGTAATTCACTAGGCTGGAATACACACTAATTAAATAATACACCATCACTGTATTAAAAATATCCATTTTTCTATGTTTAATTCAATATAAATCTTGATTTTCTTTTATAACTTAGATGGTGGGTACAGGAACTTCTGCTCTTAGGGTTTTCATGTTTGCATTTTTGAAAACAAAGTTTATTTATAAGCCAAACAATTATGAAATACTTAAACAGTTGGCTGCATTGTGCCTGTAATTTTTCTATATTTTACTAAGGATGCAGATTCTACTGTCTGTATGATTAAAAACAAACCAAACTGCAGATTTACTCAGGAGTGTACCCACACAGAGGTGTTGTACCTAAGAGCACCATTACAGCAGATGCAAAAATCAAGTCTGAATCTGTGGATTCCCTCCCTTTGCACTACACAAGTCCAGAAAAGTTCTGACAAGACTCTGGGAATGGAAAGGGACGTGGGATTGTCCAGGTTGCTTTCCACTCCTTCAGGAAAAGGAAATATGTGCCATGGTACCATTTATACTTATCAAACTGGACTATGACTCTTGATTTAGAATAATACCATGTTTTGTGTAGAAGGGAAAGAAATTGAGCAGTAAATAACAAATAAGAAGTAGGAGAGAGAGTAAAAAAAGTGAAGACATCAATGTTTTGGACAGCACTTCTGTAACCCTGGGGTGCAAAACAGGGAAGAGACACTGGTGCTCTGGGAAAATGAATGAATTTTCTGTTTGCCACCCAGAAGCAAACTGCAAAAGCTGCTGAACTGCATAATGAATATGGATGTCCAAAGAGCTATGGAACACTTTAGGCTGTAGGATATATAATACTATATTGAAAAAACATGTTAAATCCATAAATTGTAGTACAGTACCTGCAAGATTTCCTAATGTTGCTTATAACTGTTCATAAACCAAAATGCAACCAGGATAAATCATAATTTATTTTAGTTTGTTTGTGATTTTCCTTGCTGTCTTTTATACTAACATACTGCAATATATTGAAATGAAAAACAGAGTCCAAATTGGGTTGACTGGAATTGCAGTGGAAAGCTGAAGAAGTTTTTGAAATGTGTTATTTACGTGGTGCATAGAGTTAGTAGTAAGAGAGTAAGTACTGGGAGGGAACAAAGCAGGAAGTGAGAATGGGTATGAATTTCATATTTAGATCAGACAGCCATGAAAGTTAAGTCTAGGGATCCTGTTACTATTTGTTGTCTGCTAGTACTACTAGTTCTTCAGGGATGGCAGTTGCTCAGTGAAGACTGGTATGGACCAGTCATTTTGGTAAGCACCGATATGGACCACACACATTTCTTGCCTGTTTAGTAAGAAGAGTGTTTAATATTAAAGCATACTCAAAAAAGCATGATTTAAATATTTTTCATGACAAATTGCTAATATATGAATACGTTTCTTTTTCTTCTTAGTTTAATGAAACACAGCAAACGTGCAGCCAATGACTAAGAAATATGAAGACATTCGGAGGTTACAGTAACATGTGTTAACATGTGTAAGTGCAAACTACAAACTTTTTTTTTAAAAAAGTACTTCCATTTCACAAGCTTATCAGTTATTGAAAGAAATATGTACCTTGAAATCTCCTTTCTTCTTTCAACTTTTCAATTTTTCTTCCTTAGATATGGGTACATGCAGCAACCAGTCAGTATGGGGAAGACAGTTTTACGATGCCTCTGCAGTCCAGCAGGCAACTAGTTCCCACTAAACTTTGCCACATTCATGGACATGCAAAAAGACTCAATATATGGTTAGCAATATACTACTTTTCCTTAAAACACAACTGTCAGATGAAAGGCAACATAATAACAAACGAAATGGGTAAAGCGTTCTGGGCTATTGGGCGCAGAAAGAGGACACAGAAGATGAAAACTGTTGGCAGTAAATTCCTTTTTGTGTGCCCTCAGGTCAACAGCCCAGAAATGCTTAAGTATAAGCAGTCACGTAACGCCACGGCAGTGCCTTACACTGTGGCTTCCCTGCGTGCTCCAGGACAACCTCTGCCCCAATACCCAACAGATTTCTGCTCACGCTCCTACACCGATAGGACTCTGCAGATGAAAAATGCTTTCCCTATACAGTTATGCACCTGCATCAATCCAGACTTCAAAACATTTTACTATTTCTAATCTAGCTAAGGCACAAGAACATCTATATTAGCATTCTGATTAGTTTAGCACTTCTGTAATGCTCAATCTTCAATTCCAAGAAGCTGGAAAAACTTGGAGATTAAGCTCTGGAAATGGCAATGGGACCAAAAAACTGTTGTTATTCAAAGAAATGGACTCACTGCTTGTGAAAATTTAAAAAATCTACTTGGGAGAAATTCAATCAACTTTCCACCTTTGCTATTTCTGGTGGAAAATTATACAAAAGGAAATCAAAACACTGATTTTAAAAGTAGTGAAACAGATGTCAGAGTTTAAATAAGATCAGTCAAAGAAAGCACGTGTGTGCAAATGAGGACACAGTAAGAGCACTGCCAAATCCAACAGGACTATTCACAGACAAGAATTCTTCAGACGGTCCATTGACATCATCCCTTGTCAGGAAGAGACCAAGCTTACAATTACGGTGCTGAGGCACAAATCATTGCTAGGTTCCCCCTGAAAGCACAGCTAAGCTGCAGTGAAACTTGAGTAACTACACGAGAAAAAAACCACTTCTGTAGTTACAAACTATATTCTCATTGCTAATCAAACCAGAACAAGAAGGAAGAGTAATATATTATTTAGTAAGCTCAAAACTCTCCACCAACTATTTCCATAGTGTCTCACAGCATATCTGAGTATTTCTAGGAAAAATACTTTGTGTCGAAATGCTGAAGAAGCAAAATAATTCAACAAAATGTGCAAACATCCTAGTTACCCCACACTAGCTGTCCTACTACTGTAGTTGCCCTGCCCCGTTAGATCTTCCCAAGAACGTTTTGCAGGCTGCAATGAGACGCTACTGTCATACTTCCTGTGAAGTCAGCTAAGAAATGTGTGATTACAGTCTCCCTACCCATGAATCCACACGTCTGTAGATGCCACAGCTTCCTAATTTCTCACTTTGCAGACCAACCAGGTTGGTAATTTAGGCTAATTTTTGGACTTACACTGACCTGAACAGGAGCTCTAGATAGTCTTTACTTTTGATTTAAATAAACTTCCATTTGTGGTACTTCTTGTACTTCTTGCAGTTTCTTAATGTAAAGATTGACTGTCCACAATTTACTATGTCTTCTACAACTCAGGAAACCACTGGGACTGTAGTGTAATGAGTTTGTGACACAGGCACACTTTTCCCTTGTTATGTAAAGGTGCAGGTGTGCCTCCAGCCACAGGAACACAATGTACCCCTTCGCTCCATGGTTCCTGAAACACCTGCCTTTCCTAAAGCATTCTTTCCTTCATTAGATCGATATGGCAGGAAAATCCGACGTTGGCAGGTTCGTCAGAAAGCGTGCTCTTAGATGAAGCTGAAGAGTGCAAAACTTCAAACAAGTCCAAGCCATACTGGGAAGCCTAGAAAGTGAATGCGAGAAAAACCTCCCCTAAAACTGAGAGCTACGACTTATCCAAAGACCTTAATTAGTCATTAAGATTTAAGTAATTTAATAATTTAAATCTTATTTTGAAACAAATTATTTTCTAAGCATTGGGCTTGCTTGTCCATAAATACTGAAGTCTATTCAGTATCAATTTCCAAGTCTTTCACTCTTCCCCGTTCCTGAGAAAGGAGGGAACAAGCCTGTGATCTTAGAAAGTCCCTCCTGACGGTCTGGTGTCTCCCTGAAGGTGAGATGTCCTTCCGTACTTGGCATGAAAAGATTGCGAGAGCTTATACTTTCCCTTCCCTCCTTTGTACTTGGGAGAAGAACGAAAGGAGCTCAGACACTGGTGAGGAGAACACGAAGAGTTTCCAACAGAGCTCTTTTTTCGCAGCTGACGTAAGGAGCACTTGTGTTCTGAGAAATCCTCCATGATCCGGACCAAGGATTCACCGAAGAGCTTGCTGCCGGTGTACGGCAAAGACAGCAGTTCACGTGTCAGGTCTAGCGATGAGGTCCAAGGACGGAGCCATATAGCTCTCCAGGCTACAGTGAGGCAAGCCATATTTTTAACGGTGAGTCTCAAAGAATCCTCAGCTGCATCATGGATAAAACTAGCTGCAATTTTACACAGCCTGCGTTTCCTCTGCATGGCGCCAGATGGGACCCATTTCTTTTTGAATCTGGCTCGTTCTTCCTCCAACCATATTAGTAACGCTCTAGCAGCGTAACTGCAGTAGATAGATACTCCAAGCTGGGCTGCAACTAGATTGAAAGATCTTTTAATTGCTTCCTCAACCTTTCTGTCGGTAGGATCTTCAGGGAGAGCATCCATATTAGCAGGCACTGATAGTACAGATTCACCAGCAACCAGTTCCCTGTCTACCTGAGGCAAGGTCCCCCACAAAGCAGCTTTATCCACTGGAAGAGGATAGAGCTTACGTAGGACTGGCGGGGCTTCATGCTTTGCCTCAGGATTACCCCATATCCTACGGACAAAATCTTCCACAGCTGAATGGATAGGAAGTGCATTATCTACCTTGCCTTCTTCAGAGGGGATAGGCAGTTCTTCTGAAGCACATTCAGATTTGGAAGATTTTAGCATTAATACCCTCTTTATGTGCTTGAACAGATAATTCTGATTCTCCGTGTCAAACTTACGCAGAGGATCTAGTACTTCTTGGTCTTCTGTAGGAGACTCAGATGACACCTCCTCATCTTCAGGGGATGACTCAACCTCCAAGGCCTTGTCAGCCTCAGATTTCTCCTTCCCAGGAGTTATTTCATCTTTTGAACTGTTCATATGGTCAGACTCAAAAGTTTGGGAACCGCTCCCAGTTGCTTCTAGAGGAACCACTGGAACTTCTGTAATTGGTACCCTGGGATGCTTTACCGAATGGGACCTAGCCTGTGCCACAGAAGTTACACTTTCTCTGGCTGCTGTGAAAGCATCCTTTAAGACAGTAGCTAGCTCAGGCAGAATTACAGATTTCATTAATGAGTTCTTTTCAGATTCAGAGAAGTGAGTAGTAGTAGTAGGTCTTACCTTCCTGTGGTAGGAGCTCTGAGTGTCTTCTGAATCTGAGCTGTTGTCTGGGGTCTGGCTGAACCAGGGCTGGAGAGAAGAATGCTGCCTTGCCAGTGAGCCATGAATTGAGGTGCCGCTGAGGGGTTGCTGGAAAGGGGATGGCTGTCCTGCCTGAGAATCTGAGCCCTCCTCCAACCCCATTATCTGTTGCTCAGAAGCATGGTGTCTAGAGCCATGCCTGTACTTCCATTCGTCTGACCTCTTTTCCTCTTGGCAGAGGGGAGCAGAGACAGAACTAACCCTCGTAAACTCTGAAGACTGCCTAGCCCTCCTCCTGGTGTAGGAGGTCTCTGATCTGGTGCTGGAGCATTGATCCCCTGACCTTCTGAAGAAGTTGGATCTGTCAGATCTCACACACTTTGCTTTGGTAAAGACAGGGTCTGCTTCAGGAGAATTGGCACAGCTACCTTTGCTTTTCTTTTCCTTGTCCAGTTCCTTTCCTGTCCAAGCAGACATGGACCTGAAGTGATGAAAAAAGTTCAAAATACTCGAATTCCTAGATCTTTCAAAAAGTACTTTTTTTTTCAAGGGAAACCCTATACCCTTTTTCCTCAAAGAAGCACTGCGTCATGATCAGTGCCACGTGAGGCTGACACACTGGGAACTGAGGGACTGCAGTGATGCTGGGCTGCAGAGAGGGTGCCAAGACATCTTCTGTAATCTGACTGGTTGCTGCTGCTGCCCTGTCTCTAAGGAAAAAAGAGGAAAGCCCAATATAGACTAATTACACAGAAATACATTTTAGAAAGGAGTTTTTGCACGGTAAATAGGATGATAGCTTGGCATGCATCTGTTCATATTCACTAGACATGAGGTGCGTAAATGCATTATAAAATAATTTAATAAAGCACTGGTTGATTCTACAGATAAACTGAAGCCACTTAAATATGGAGACAAACTCAAATCTTGCTACAGGTCACACATAAAACCAGACTTGCATAGTCTTATCCTGGGCCTGAGAAAACAGGTATTGAGGTCACATCATTTGTACAGTTCTGTACGAAGTTCAGTTTCTGCTGCTCAAAGTTCCAGTTACCGTAAAACAGGGGAGTGATAAAAGAGAATGCAAACTGGACTGCCTAGGAAAATGTATACAGTACTTATCTGTACGTCTGCTTCCAAACATTGCTTCATACTTCCCTTTTTATCAGCTGACTTTAATTAATCCATATGCACTTAATGTTGTAATAAAATACTACTCTGAACTCGTTATTCTAGGAACAGACTATTGTGTTTTTTCTAAAATCAAGGAAGACTAAACAGAAACTGCTCTTTGCCATTCAGAACTGTAAATCTGTTCCAGTCAGATCAAGATGAAAACTTCCCTACATGAAGAAGCTATGGCAACAGAGCAGATTCTTCTTGAAAAAAACCTGATTTTTCTATGTACGTTTGTAAATGTCACATCTGCAAAATAATAAGGGGCTCTTACAGTGCTTTTGACACACAAATGCACTGTAAAATCTACCATAACGCCCATGTAAAGGATAATGCTCTTGGCATATTTAGAAAATAACAACATCGTTTCCTATACTAATCAAAAAAACTAACACATAAAATGCTGCTTATTTAGTAAGTTGTAATTGTTAGATGAGCAGACATTCCAAGGCATACTCTGTGTGACGCCAGGAGATCCAGCTAGACTACATGTACAATAAAGGGAGAGTCAGGAATAAGAGCTGTGTTGCACGCTTTGCTTTGAAGCTGCTTGCTATGTGTCGTGTACTGAAATACAGGAAAGGGAGATTTGGTTTTTCTTGTAGGGCATTCCTTCCCCGCTGTGTGTAACACCACTTCCTTGTCACGGGATTAGGTGTTAGCGCAGGCAGACATTTCAAAGGCATTTGTTTTCCAGTCAATGTAACAGAAGATTGTCATTATTAGGACTCAATTAAAAATGTATTTGCAAAACCAGTAACACTAAATGTGCCCCACCCGAAAGGACTGCATCTGGAATTTTAATAACCTGGAAGATGGGTTTGTAAATAAAGATTCCTCACTTTGAGACAATCACGTCTGAATCTGAATTTCACCTTGCACTAGTGAACGGCTTATTCTAAACTTGGATGTTTAATTCTTTTTCTAATGGCGTGGTTGAAATGCTGTGTATAGTTCTATACGTCACTGGATACGGAATCTTTGTCAACACGGAAAACCAGTTAGTTTTTAATTAATAGGTGCGATCCTGTATAGAGTCCATGTGTGGTATGAACAGTGACCCTGACAAAGCACATCAGCTGCTCACCTGTATTCACCAAATGTTCCATCATCCTCCTTCATAGGTTGTATTTCTGGATCAGCATGTGCATCCTCCTTTTCCTTCACTGAAATATTTAAAATTGTAATTTTTATCATTAAACTGCAATACAAAAAAACCTTAAGACCTTATTTTCTCAATCTTATCACATTTGGCAGGAACATGGTTTGGATAAAAATAATTTTTAGAACTGGAGCCTTAGGCTGCGACATTTTTTCTTTTGAAGGAAAAGATCGGTTAATTATTTATACAATTTTATTTTGATTCAAGTACAAAACAGTGTATGCCATTCTGCACAAGTAAAACCTTTTCTTTCTTTCATTTCTATTACCAAAGTTTGGTTAAAAACCTACTAACATTTTCTTTCCTTATGTTATTAATAGAGCTATTGTTTATTGAAATCTGAGTAATTGAGTTTTACTTATCCATACTCTGTATTCTCATTGATAAAACTGATTCACTTGTGTTGACTGTCAGTTTGTTCACTTTCTGCTTTCACTTCATGCCCTAAGGCTCCAGGGAACTTTAGGTAGCAAGAATTATTAAAATACCAGGTGTGGTCTGATAATTTATTTTTTTCTATAACATCATCAAAAGAAAAGTAAAACTTAGGTCCCAGTGTAGGTGGTTTAACACAATTGTATCTCTTGCACGTCCTTGTTACAGGCATAGTCATCATTCAGTGGTAGTAATAAATCCACATACGTGACCTGTCTCCATAAAAAAAAGCTATGTAGCCCTGTGTCCTTTGACCCAGAAACCCACTAGCACCTAAGGAGACAAACAATTATGGAAGACACATACTCCTTTAAGTTAAGATTGTTGACAGAGTAAAATAATACACTGACTGCTAGAATTACCTTTATGGTTCTTCTCTTTGCCTTTCATTTCCCTCTTTCTGGCTACTACTCAGATCTTTCCCTTTTTTAAGCAGATACAATTATATAATCCAATAAACAATCTCTTATCTTTTACTCCGGTAATTTCCACACTTAATCTGTGCATCATTAGTTTATATGCTGTTATTTAAGATGATATGAATCATTCCTGGCAGTATTTTCTAAGTATATTAATTACCATCATGCATAACACCTTGAAATGTATCTGGCTGCTCTAATTTAATACTGAAATAATTTATTACTTTTTTCAAACCACAGGCAATCTCATGATGACATGCTAAAATTACGATGGAAAAAAGAGTTAATGCTGACTTTTTGCTTTCCATTTGTCACTATCTGTGGAACAGCTCATTTGCAATGACTCAAGACATACAAATAGCACTAGTCACTGCCATAAACAAGAGCACATGCTGAATCTGGACATCTTACGGACAGTCAATGTCAGCCACATCTATGCCATCGACAGCATTTTCATGTACGTGTGTACATATGCATATGTGCATAAAAATTAGTACCTTGCATCTAGTAATTCTGCAGAGGCAGAAAAAAGAAGGGCATGGCAGGGATCTCCACAAAGGAATGACAACCTTAGTATCCAACTCCTCTCTAGGCTTTTATGCAAACTGTGGTTTACTCTCCCCACTCCAAGTCCTCCCTAGTCTATTCAGTTTCATCACTTCACTCGCTTCAGCCTCCTAATTTTCCTTCTCTTTTCTCAATTCTCTCCCCTAAAAGTCACTTCTCCTACATCCTCTGTGATATCATTTTCTCTTTAAAAACCCAGAATATTAGAAAAAAGCCTAAGATGATGTTTTCAGCCTCTCATTCAACTCATATATAACGCTGTTCCTTTATCACCTGCCTTTTCTCCAGGCGGTTGGGACAGAAGCTTCTCTTAAATTTTTGCTGCCATTACACATCTTTGCTCCTTCCACAAAATAATTAAGCAGCTAGATTGATCAAGGTAGGATTCTTGTACTTAATAAGGTGATTATATCTTCTTATCAAAATAACCTACTATGCTAAATTCAGCTGTAAAAGATTTGCCCATGAAGAGGAAAAGTTTTAAGTATTCACTGACACTGGTTTTTAGAAGCGCAGTGATAAAAACAAGCAGGAGAAATTGAAAGAGAGCGTGGATTTATTTTCTTGTCTGCTTTTCTAACTGCAGCCATCATCTTCATGTCAAAAATAATATGAAATTCAAGAAGATTGCACTGACTTTAAATAAGCATTCCAGAGTCTGGATATTTATGTAATTTCCAAACTTTTGGTCTTGGTAATACAGAACATAATGTTTCCCTGAAATCAAGATTTTACTTGAAATATAGTAACTGTATTTTGTATTGTAGGAGAGGAAAAAGAAAAATGAAATTATCCTTGAATGCCCAGTTAAAGTCCATTCATTTCCACTCATCGCTCACAGCTGCTCCAAGATCCTATCCAGCAGTACTGCTATTCTGTGCAAACTGGCTGTCACTGCCCTTTTCAAGAGAGTTTTAGTCTATGGGCCAACCCCGTAAACAGCAGTATAAGACTGGGGAAAGATGCATTTTAGACACACATACGCACACATACATACACACACACACACAAGCCTTTTATAATATGTACATCCAGAGGAATCACAGTTTTGACAGATGTACGTCGCATCGTTCCAACTTTAATTACAGATTATAAAATACACTTGGCCATTCCTAGGCATAATCCTAAAAAAAACCAAAACCACCCTAAAAAGAAGAATTCTTACAAAGAAAAAAGAGGCTAACTGAAGGGTGGTAACTTCAAATTTGGCTGCAAAAATGCTGAAGCTGAAGACGACACAGATTGTGAGAAGCATGGTATATGCTTGAAACAAAATCATGGATGAAGGGATTTGTCCAGTGAAATGCGTTCCCAGTACATTACAGTAACATGGCAGCTATGACCTGGTATATGTTTCCACGCTCTCTGACCAATTGAATTTTAACTCGGCTCATTTTGGTGGGTAAAACCCATCTGGATTAGGCCTAAGAAAGTGAGGTGGGAGGACCAAGTATCTCAAACCTCTCCAGAGTGGTCATGTAGTAATATGACCCTGCAGAAAGGGAGGAGTTACTTTTCTTACGCTGAAATGGACTGAGTTTTTCTACCAACAGGCAGATTGCTCCTGACAAGCCTACCAAATGGTCAGACTGATTTACCGTAGGCACAACATAAATGTAAACCAGCACCAAATGTAGTATCTCCAGTAAACCTGAGATATGTCTAAATGGATCACCAGTAGATTGTTTTTACTCACACTGCGATATATCATACCTGGGTATTTGCCACCCTTGTTCCTCCTTATGAAGCAGACGATCAGTAAAATCAAGATCAGAAGAGCAACAGCACACATAAGACCAATGAACCATCCTTGCGTAGCGATGTCCACCTGTCGACTTGCCATGGCTAGAGAATGAAAGAAGACAAAAATAAATGTTTGCTGTGTTTAAATGCCATGTGAATTCAAATAAATAACAGCCAGTATACACTGTTCATTAAGGAATAACATTCGTTGTGAAAATTAGTATTGAGAAAAACAGCGATACCATATTTCGTGAGTATCTTCAATATTTAAAATGTTTCCAAGTACTTGTGCCTAGAACCTACTTGTGAGTATATAAGAATTCTGTCAAAATTTAAGCTTAGCAACGACTTTGCAAAACCTGTGCACATACAACATTGCTTTTCACACACCTCAAAACTGTTCTCAGCCATTTTACGTTAATTAAACTATTGAAATGAAATTGCAAATTATACTTCACACGAACATGTTGATTGCATTCTCAAAATGGATAACAAGCCAAAACTCATTAGCTAATGCACTCCCATTAGTCTGAAATGGGGAAACAGATGGGTCATTGAAGACTCTAACATTCAATTTCAACTAAAAATCAACAATAAAGCATCCTTTAAAGCCTTATTAAGCATCATGTTTTCTTCCTCTCCTCAAACCTGTACCTCAGCCTACAATTTGTCATGATTGCCATGATTTAGCATTAGCGAGGACTTAACACAATGCAATTGGGAAGCCTTTCCTTGGCACCGTTTCTCTCCAAATGCTGACTCTAGCTGGAAGATAATGTAAATGATAAGCAAATGGCACAGGAAAAATTACAGTCACTACTAAGGACAGGAATTATCTGTGTGGTCTGGGGACTGGATGCCTCCTACTGGCCTCCAACACAGTAGGAGTATTTTCCTGATGAAGTTTATATTCTACTTCCCCTGTTTGGAAACACACTACAGGCAACTGGCCTTAGAATTTGCTGTTGAGAGAAAGTGGGAAGGGTGAGAGGAGTTAGGGATGCATGCTACAGACGGAAGAATACATGAAGTGGAGGGAGATCGACATCCATCTAAACCTATCTTGTTCAGTCTTTACTTTCTCCAGTCCCAAACCCCAAGAGTCTTGACAAGTTGCTCAATAGCCTTTTCTCTATTTAGGAAATAGAGACAAAAATCACCATTCCCACATGAATAAGGAATGCAACACCCTTCCTATGCATAACTCGTATGGCATTTTGGTTCAGCGTCTGTCATTTTTTCTGGCTTCATGAGATGGGGTATTGGATTATTGACAGCCAGTAATTTACCTAGGATTTTAGTAAGGACCAATAGTATTGCAAATCTCAGCTTAGTAAACACTTCACACTAGGACCAGGTTATCCTTGAGACCTTCTGTCAGTCTCTTTAATGGTTGGACTTGATCATCTGAAAGGTGTTTTCCAACTTACACCATTCTATGATTCTGTGCTTTGCTTGGATTCTGCGAGCACATCGGCTCTCACGGTGCAACGTGTTTCACTCGTATCTGCTAGGGGAGAGGTAGCAAGTCTAACTGTAGATATGCTTCCACCGAAGTGGAGGGCACAACGCATTTGTAGCTTTACACACAGAAACGTGAAAGTCCCAGAGCTCCATAAAGATTTCCACCTCTCCTTAGAGAAGATACGTCTAAGGGGAAGGCTCATAAGAACACATCAGAGGGATGTTTTCCGTGGAGCGCTGACTTTTCTAGTCACAGTTCTCGGTGATACAGCATAAACTCTTCCCTTTACAAATCATGCTGGATGGCAACTGTCCCGGGCTGGTGCTATGCTTGGAACAACACCTGAGCCTTGCTGGGCAGAGAGCTAGCTGACAAGAGACTGCACTGGGCTGGCAGGCACACTAACCATAAAATAGAACAAAATTCAGTTATAGGCCAGATTTCAAGCCCACGTCTCAATGTTATTTACCAGTTAAGACAAAATTTGAGGCAGCTTGAAAGCATCAGCTCTCAATGGTCAAAAGTACCTCTGATGTCTGGACACAGTACCTACCCTCCATATTCCATATGGAAGACCAACATTATTCCACTTTAGAAGTACATGGCTAAAATTACCTGTTTATTTTGCTGCCTCTTTATTGTCTTACTGGAAAAGTTATGACTGGATTTTCATTTAAATAGATCAATGAATAAATGCATCTAGTTATTGTGGAGTTACGATCAGATTGCCCAGACACTGCTGAAGATCTGCTTTATGATATTTTAGAAACTGTTTCTTAGACGTACACCAATTTAAACTATTTTTGCATAAAAAAATGTCTGCACATCATATAGATATATCTAACTTTCATATATATATTATATTTGTGTTTTATATACCCTATATATGTAAAAACAAATATTTATGTTGTGGTCTTAGAAAACAAAACCACAAAGGCACACTTCCTCCTGAATTATAAATCAAATTAAAATCATCTTTTGTTTCCACATTAGGTTAAAATTTCTTTGAGTTTTACACATATGCATTTATAATAAGGCATTAAAGGTTGTTTAATACATACTGTGACAAGATGCAGGAGCACATGTAACATTCAAATGTAGTAGGAAACAGCATCAAGCAAAACAACTCATGCGTAAAAATATGCAAGATAGATGGGAGAGTAAAGACGAAAACTTACTTATGCAGCTTCCTGTATTCTTTAAACTTACTGCATATCCAGTAAGGAAAGGGTTTCTAGATCTCAGTGCAACTTTAAAAATGGCACAACATTCCCTGCTTAAGCTAAGTAAATTATCTGCTTCAGGCAGAAAGACATTTACTCCTGGTGAGCTGCTGACACAGGAGTCAGTGCAATGCGCTGCACCGCTGTGCTCAGAGCTAAACATGCGCACCATGAGGATGCTCGATGGGAATGTGTGTCAAAGAAAACATGTGGCAAAAGCCTCATCTGTGAATTACTGCAGCCTCGTTCCTAATCAGGCACACTTTCCATATTCCAATATTTTCCTTTTTATCCACTCCATTATTTGCAGTGTTTAGAAGCTCTGATCTAGGCTGAAGACAGTAACACAACATTTCTTCTGTAAGAAATACGCCATGTACATAATTTTATGCTGGACACTGAACCTTTCCATTATCAAGAAGCGGAAAAAGAGTACCTTTACATTCCATTCTTCCTTAACTACTCAGTGACATGAGCCAAGGTGACTGAGTATGTACAGGATACTTATCTACTGGCTCAGTATTTTTGTGCAGAAAGATGCTTTTGGGAGGGTTTCCATTCATCTTGTTTTAAATACTTCTGTAGTCTTGATCCTTGCTTTACTGCTGCTTTAGGCTTTGGATGCTTATTTGCATAAATTTTACATATCTGCTTTTACCCCACTACCTGTCTCTGGCTTAAATAACCTCTGTGTTTAGCCCATACATATTTACTTGGCACTGTTATTCAGCACCCTGTTTTCAAAGGTTTCCTGCAACATGTTAAACTGTGAGCAGAAACGGAACAAAACAAAGCAAGAAACTATGATTTTAGAAGATGCTTGCTTTGAAACTGGCATATTCATTATTCACTCTGTTGTCTGATAATTATTAGATATTGTTCAAGCTTATTTTCATATTTAAACTACTTTCTTAAATCATAGCATTCTGAAGTTGGTGAGGCTACTGCTAAATAACTATGCACTGGCCAAAACGCTTGGAATGAGCAGAAGTGGCTAGCAAATACACAACAAATAACAGCTGACCAGGAACACGCTGTGATGGCAACGACACATTCAGCGTCGCATCAAAAAGGTTCCAATAAAGCCCCTTCTCTGAGTTAAATGAAGAGGCATTACTGATTTGCTTATGAAGAAATACGACTGAAATATGTACATAAAGAACTTCAACAGCCTTACTGATCCACTGGATATAGGTGTGACATCAAAATCTATATAAAACCAGTATGTAACAGGAAAAGTAACATTTACGGGTAGGAATGTCATAACACTGCTACAAATAGATTACATGAGACATCAAACTGAATCTGCCCTTCTGATTATGTAAGCATTTTAGCTCAGATTTTTGGAATTAAAACTGACCATACACAGACTGTTAGCTTTAAAAATATATACTTGGCTCTATTAAAGTACATGTTACTTAAATACCGCCATCTAATTATATTAATTACAAATAGATGAAATAGATCATCTTCAGTGCACAGCACAGACGAAGTGTGAGCAGTGAGTATCTTGCCCCTGATATAGACAACAGACAGAAGAAGTGAATTGAAAGGATGAAAACATTCATAATCTACATAATAAGTGTGCTGGCACTACTTAGACGTTTACAGAATAATTCAACATTGCTCTACACAACAGAACATGCAAAGATGCTAGCTACAACATCTCTTAGCTAGAAGCAGTTCAGCGTTTCAGCACTTGGTCTACACAATTCTGACTACAATACAGAACTGGTACGGTGTGCCTCACCTGGACCTGTCTCAAACACATCCTCTGAACTCCTAAAACCAGACAGGCCCTCAGCACCAACCCAGACTTTATATGCTGTTCCTGGTGTTAAACCCTTTAACACAATGAAGCTTCGAGAACCATTTACAATTTCTTTTTTCCAATCTTCTTTGCCTACAAAAATTTTAGGAAAACAACATATTGGAATTTTAATTTTCTCTGTACTACTGAAAGTTTCTATACAGAATACTATCAACACTTATTAGACTAAACTATCGATTGGCTAAAAAAAAAAATCACTACTGTCTCAAAAATTAATAAAATCATACAAAATCAGGACTTGAAATAATATATTGCATGCAATATATTGAAAAAGACATTGTACATGAATTATGATATCAAACATTTGTTCCAATGTACTAGAGAAATACTATTTTAGTTTCTATTTTTAAAAGACTTATTAAATAGATTTTAATAATTTAATTAAATCACACTTCTGCCGTTTCAGTCAATATTTACTTTAGTCAAGAAATTCTACTTTGAAATCTGGACCCATCAGATTTCCTGATCATTCTCTGTCTCAGCTGCTTCTTTGACCAAGATCCAGAAAAACGCATTTGTATTCCAATTTTCAGATTGGTCGTCTTTAGTCACAACTTTAGAAGGACAGAGTGTTTGAATAGAAGCATCCCAGGATTAATAGCTAGCTGCATTTTAATTATTACAGGTATTATCAAAGATTAAAACCTGGTTTTATGCCAATAAAAGTACACATAATGGCTGATAGGTTATTTTAAGTTTTAATTTAACAACAGAATTGTTTTGATTGGCTCCTATTTAATTTTTCTTTTCCTAAGTTGGGCATAGTTTAGGAAAACAGTTATATCCTATTTTAATGCAAGTAATTGTCATTTTAGACATGCAATCGCTGCACGATAAACAACTTCATGCAAACTACATTTTTAGAAGTTCATGTTCAAAAGGATTTATAAAATAGTACAAAGGAACAAAGGCTGATGTTCTAAGCGTCACGCACCTGCTCCACACTGATGTTTATTAAAATTAAATTTATTTGATCTTCCTGATAAAATTTTAAAAAATTCTTCTAGACATGTAAGAGCTACCATTAACACTGGGTCAGTTTAGGACCACATTTACTACAAAAATCTTCGAGGACGTATCTGAACACTTAAACAAAATTTAATGAAATGAATTCTTACTGCCTGCTACACCATATTCAACATAAAAGTTCGCATGATCTGGTCCCTCATACTCCCAACTGATATTGGCATAGGTCTCAGCGGCAGCTGTCGTAACATTTCTGATCCTTGGATAAAGTGGTTGCACTGAATACACAATAAAAAAAACAAAGCAGAATACAAAATTGTGACTTCATGCATTTAAAAAAAAATTAGATTTTAAGTAGTTACTATATTAATTTAGGCCATATACAGGAGAAGTATGGTACATTTGTCATTGTTTCCATTACTGGAGATTAGTGACTAAAGTCATGTGTTTGGTAACTGAATCCTAGGCAGTTACTACGCTGTGAAATTATGAAGTAAAATCTACATACTCTACTGAGCATGCCCTGTATCACTAAAACTGCCACATACTTAAAGGTACCTAATTGCCAAAATTCTGGAAAACATTATTTCTATTAATCTAGAATTAAAATGCAGACAGATGGAAGGCGAGAACATGGTCAGGGTAAGGGGAAGTGGTAGGAGAGAGCAGAGTTACGAAGGTGGTACAACACCTCCCTTTATGCCACGCATCACTGAATGGACTGCAAACGCCTCGACTGCAAGATCTTATAGGATTTTGTCTCTATTGCACTGATAATGATAAAAAAAAAGGAAGACAATACCCTTATAGAATGTTGGACGGACAGTGTGCATGACTGGGGAGGTTGCAAAAAGGGTTTCTGAATATCCTTCACCATCAGAGATAGTAGGAAAGAAAAAATAAAGAACAGAAACACTTTACATCAGAAAGTAACATTTAAGTAATACAGTAAAACCTTACCTGTTAAAGGAAAAACACATGCACACTCTAAGTTCATGCAGGATTCTATTAGTTTTACTCGTTACAATACAGAACGGCTAAGCGACACACACATCTTTGAAAACAAACCGAAGGTGCGCTGACACCCTGACTTTCACAGAACATTTCCGCAATCAGCGTCATCAACGTTATGGATTCATGGCGCCTTTAGACACTGGAACATCAGAGGTCAGATACTGGAAAGCCAGTATCAAAACACTCAGGTGTGAAGGACATGAATCACAGGAATGAATGCAAGAAGCTGTTCATTTTCAGATGCTGTGTCGACTGTTGATGTCAGCATCAGACAACAGCACTTTTCACACGTACGCCTAATGCCCAAATCTCTGAAAAGAACTGCTTCTCTTTTCAGCATTCTGGAATTAGCCACTTCTTTGCTCATACCCGAGTCCTTTGTTCTCCAGTTATACTTGTTACCAACGGACACGTATTTCACTATTTCTGTTTGCCTAACACTATTGAAAAATAGATTTTAATACTTCCAGCAGATGTTCCTCAAAGACATGAAATTAATTTTTAATGAAACTGCCTCACACAGTTTGTCACTGACCTTTCTATCCTGCTAAAAATACCTCTTCTGTTAGAAACAGCACCAAAAATACTTCCCGAAGGACCATGAAAGATGAGGGTTAAAAAGAAAGGTAAAGCTTGGTAAAGACAGATGGCAAACTTCCTATGGCTTCACCTACACCAGAAAATAACAAGGGCAATAGCCTGTTCTCGAGGAGAGAGGTGCCGCACAGATTTTAGCTATGTACTTAAATTAACATCTCCTCCAAACAGGATGGTCTTGTCCATATGGATGACTGAAAGCAGTTCCAAATTAGATTCAAAGAGAAAATGGCTCACTTCGGTACAGTAAAATAAATAAACCTGTACACAAGCTTCTACCACAAACTAAATGAGCACCATGTCTAGAAAACTATAGTTTGAGTATTTTTTTAAAATACCTAAATTACGCAAATTCCATCAATTACTCTAAAAATGTATTCTCATTATTAGAAAATTTCACAGTATCATACTTTTGAACCAGATACTTACATCAAATTTTCCTTCTTAGTAGTACTCATTCAACTCTTCAATCTGTATTAAACTAAGTACTCTCAAATTTGATGGCTTTGTGTGTATATTGTATCTATATATTTTATAAATAACTTCTTTCACCAGGCAAAAATGACAAGGAATATATTATTTAAATAATAGAGAATGGATTTATTTCTTGGCTAAAACCACCTGACCAAAATCAAATGGAAAGCACTAGACTTACCAAAAGCTATCGAGGTTACTAAATCAACCACAAACCCCCTAAGAAATACCAGAGCCGGAGCTGTTCAAGGGAAATCTGGCATGTAACCGTATACACTATGGAAATGCAAGGGGATCAGCTTCGGCTTCTCTGTGCCACTTGAAGGTAGCAAGAGGAAAGAATAGCAGGCGCTAAATTTAGAAGGGTGCAGAGCCTGGGATGGCCGAGAGGATACCTAAACTTCCTTCCTCATTTCCACATAGGAATAGGTGTTGGTTACAATCAGCATTTGTTCTGTGCCAAGAAAACAACTGGTTTGTATGCTAAATACGACTTTGTTTTGTTTCATTAAAAAACATATTGTCTCAAACCCGTATTTTCCTGGATTTTGCTCTTCCACAGAAGCTGTCTGCTGAGCAGCACAAGTGTATGACTGGTATTTGTCACCAGTGCTAAGACAGAAGAAACCATCAGCAGTGATCTGTTTCAAACTCTTGCAAACGGATCCCACAGAACGGCACCCAACTTCTCCCTCTTCACGCCTGAGCACTTGGGCATGAAGAAAACCGCCTCATCTTGTGCGAAACGCTCCAGATGACACACGGCTTCTGTAACACTAAGGAAACTCCATGATCACCTTCCTGTAAAACCTCAATCTTATCACGTTGTCTTTTTAATTCCCCATTTCACATTTCTGCTCTGATTAAAGAGCTGCCTGCTAGATTAAAGACCTGCTATCTGGTAAACGTCCTTCTGCTCACAGGATGGGTGTTACAATTAACTTGGCTCAGTAAATTACCTTCATGTCCTCGGTGTCCTAGCTTCTAAATACTCTCAAGTGACTGATGTATGCTGACATTTATCAGAGGTGCTCTCTGATTCTGACCAATAGCGTCACCTATAGATTTACCCACGTGTAGTATTTGGTCAGATTTAAGTTCTGGACTTTTCTTACTGAATACAGCGCAACA